CCGAGGAAGGTACTGGGTTGGAATCGAGCCGAGAAGGAAGGAGGGTGGGGCAGGTCTGGAGACTTAGGGGCGAGCCGGGGAGGGGGTGGGCCGGGGCTGGAGACAAGGGGCGAGCCGAGAAGGTGGGTTGCTATCTTTCTTGAGCTTCCAGCTGCTCTGGGCATTTGAGGACCCGACCCGCAGTTGCAGTGTTAGAGGCCGGGAGGGCCTAAGGCTAGCGCAGTGGGAATGGTTGGCTCTAGGAGACCCGGGACGTGGGCAGAGGAAAAGAAATGGGTGGAATACAGAGAAGAGCGGTAAAGCAGCGCCTTGCATCGAGTGCCGTTCAGCCATTTTCGAGGGTTACTGTGTGCATACGTGTGCCAGAATACGCTTACTGCTCGGCAGGGAACGGGACCTGTATGCATACAAAGTCTTACCCAGTTACCATCTGCATGTTCTTGGCCCAACGCCGCGATACCTTCCCAGAATTAAAGTACACAGTCTAGTGCAGAGGACAGTCCGCTAGGGCTGTAGGGCCCATCACTCCCTTTATTTTCACAAGATAAAAAATTAAATTAAAAAAAGCTCCTCTGTTGCTTGAAACCAGATTGCTGAATCAAATGCTTGGCAAATACTGGAAGCCAGGAACTTCGGTTAGAATGTGATAAAGAAATTTTCATGCAGTAGTTTTCTGGTGGGTAGAACGGACATAAAAAAAGGTATGTTCAGTTATCTTGGTAAAAGTTTCTAAATGCATAGATTGCCATTTGCCTGCATTTCCGTTGTAAAACAGAACAAAAGCAGAACAAAATTAACATATTATGTAGGAATAATCCTATGAGATTATTTGTGATTTGTTTGAAGAAAACTTTTGACATTTCGCTGAAAATGAGAAAGGCTTAAGGGGTAGAGCCCTTAAGATATAGTGTATTTGTCAATAGAAAAACCCTTTTAGAACAGATCAAATCCTGGAAATTTGTCGATGATTCTAAAGTTCATCTGTGAGAATAACCAGGCAAGAGAGCAAAGAAAATAACTATTAAAAAGTGATAAGGGTTGCTTCAGAATTTAAATTAAAAAAAGGAACCCCCTCCAACCAAAAAAAGTAAGAAGGGACCACTAGGGCTACCAAATATTATACCACATTATAAGCTCAAAACCTAAAACATTCTGGTCACTTGGTACATAATAGACAAATCAATCGAGAGAATATATAGCCCAGAAAATGATAAATACAACTAAAATGTGAATGTATTTTAGGGTGGTGAAATTAGGGGAGATTTTTTTTCTCTGTCTTCATTTATTCAATAATCCATTTCTTCCAAAAGTGTTTATTGTCTACTATGTGCTGGGTGCTGTTCTAAGAAATGGGGAGATAACAGTGAACAAAGCAGATAGAAATCCCTGCGCTCATGGAGCTTATGTTCTAGCTGGGTAGAAGGACAACAAACAAGATAAATACGTAAGTGAACTATATAGTATATGAGATAGCAGTGAGTACCAGGAAGTGAGATATAAAGTGATGTGGTAGGAGGGCAATTTGAAGTTTTAGAGAAGGTGGCTAGGGAAAGTAACTTTTGAATAAAGACTTGAAAGAAGTGAGGGAGGTAGCTATGCATATAGAATGAGACTTGAACTTCAGGCAGAGGTTAACAGCAAGTGCAAAAGCACTGAGGTTGTTGTGCCTGGTGTGGTCAAAGAACATAGGGAAGACCAGTGTGACTGGAGTGGAGAGACCTAGCAGAAAAGTAGTAGAAAACAAGGTCAGAGAGTGTGATAGGGTAGGTCATATGGGGCTGTGCAAGTCACAGTTAGGATGCTGCTTTTACTCTGAGTGAGGTGGGAAGCATTTGGGATTTTTTTTTTTTTAAGATTTTATTTATTTATTTGAGAGACAGCGAGCGAGAGACAGCGAGCGAGCATGAGCAGGGGGGAGGGGCAGAGGGAGAGGGAGAAGCAGATTCCCCCTGAGCAGGGAGCCTGTCGTGGGGCTTGATCCCAGGATTCTGGGATCATGACCTGAGCTGAAGGCAGACGCTTAACTGAGCCATCCAAGCGCCCCAAGCATTTGGGATATTTTGAATAGAGGAGTGCTGTGATCCAGCATACATTTTATTTTTTTATTTTTTAAAGATTTATTTATTTATTTGAAAGAGAGAGAGAATAAGAGAGAGAGAGAGCACATGAGAGGGGGGAGAGTCAGAGGGAGAAGCAGATTCCCCGCTGAGCAGGGAGCCCGATGTGGAACTCAATCCCGGGACTCCAGGATCATGACCTGAGCCGAAGGCAGTCGCTTAACCAACTGAGCCACCCAGGCGCCCCCAGCATACATTTTAACAGGACCAGTCTAGTTGCTATGTCCCACAGGATATGGGAACAAAGGCAGAGACAGAGAGACGTGTAGAGCTGTTATAATCCAGGCAGGAGGTAATGATAGCTTGGAGCAAGCTGGTGGCGGTGGGGTGGTGAGTGATTGAATTTTAGATTATTCCGAAGGTAGAACTGATAAAATTTGCTCATGACCCAGGATGTAGTTTGTGAGAGAGAATTCAGCAAGACTGACCTCAAGGTTTTTGGGCTGAGCAACTGGAAGAATGGAGTTACCATTGGCCAATATAGTTTTGGAGAGAGGAGACAGAAGTTCAGTGTTAGATGTATGAACTTTTGAGTCGTCCATGAGACATCCAGATGGAATACGTGTTGGAATATGTGGTCTGAAGTTCAGGGGAAAGGTCCAGGCTGTAGGTATAAATCAGGAATGTAACTTGTTTTCTTAAGTTGTGTATGTCATTTTATAATAAAAAGTATGAAAAAGAAGAACTAAATTGTTCTAGGGAAAAAAGCTGGGGTCAGTTGAGCTGTGAAGGTAAATTGAAGTTTTGGAGTTACCAATTAGATGTTTTAAACTATTTCATTTAGGTTCAGACCCTCTGTGGTTAAAGAATGTATCCATGCTGTGCTTAAGGAGGAACTGGCAAATGCTGAATACTCTCCAGAAGAAATGCCTCAGCTCACAAAACGTTTATCAGAAACCATTAAAGACAAATTGAAAGGTAATCGTGGTGGTAATTAGAAATGTTCCCTTCAAACATTCAATTTTATTCATTTGTCTCCTTCCCTATGTTTAAATAATGGCCGTAAGCTGTGGATTGTTTTAAACACAATTTTTCTTCAATGTCTAGTCTTCTCAATTATTTGGTAACTTTTACTCATGTAGGTTTTTGCAGATAGTGGGAAAGTTAAAGATATGAAATAGAACATTGTATGCATGCACTATCTGAGAAATTCCAGTATGGAAAAGACCAGAGGTTACAAGGGCTCCTTTCTGCCATCATTCTTGGTTGTCTTTCTCACCAACATCTCAATTCCGTAGCCTGTCATTCATACCCTCACTGTCTGACCTCAGCCCATCTCTCCAGCTGAGTCCTTAACTAGTCACCAGACTCAACTGTCCACTCTTGCTAAGCTCTCTACATCTATAGAACACACCTCATGCTTTTTCTCCCCGTTCTCTTTGTCTCTGTCTCTCTCTCTTTTTGAAAGATTTATTTATTTATTTATTTGAGAGAGAGAGAGAGAGCCCGTGCAAGAGAGCACGCATGCACCAGCTGGGGAGGGGGGAGGGGCAGAGAGAGAGGGAAAGAGTCCTTAAGCCGACTCTAGCTGAGTGTGGAGCTGGAGGAGGGGCACTATCTCATGACCATGAGATCATGACCTGAACTGAAACCAAGAGTCAGACGCTTAACTAACTGCACCACCCAGGTTCCCTTCTTTTGTTAATAATGTTCTACCATCTGAAAAGTCCTTTCTTTCTGCCTTTTTAAAAATAGAACATTTTTTGGAGGGAAGAAAATGTCTGTGTAATAGTAATACATTTTCGTTGTACTAACCTAGGCCATCTAGAAAAGTACACATTTAATTTTTTAAAATTATATAAAATTCCATTACCCAAAGGTAGTTACTATTTAGTATTTTGGTGTACTTTTTTCTTTTTCTTAATTTGTTTTACTTTTTAGGAATTAAAAAAATATACAAGAATACAGAGAAGGAAATAGCAATTCTATGTATTTCTGTCACCCAGAATTAACTACTGTTTGTATATTAGCATTTTTATTTTCACTTTTTTAAAGAGATTTTTTTTGTTTACTTGAGAGAAATAGAGAGAGCATGAGTGGGGAGAGGGCCAGAGGGAGAGGGAAAAGCAGACTCCGCACTGAGCAGGGAGCCTAACTTGGGATTTGATCCCAGGACCCTGAGATCATGACCTGAGCCGAAGGCAGACTTAACCGACTGAGCCAGCCAGGTGCCCCTATTTTTACTTTTTAATGAAAATTCACTGTTAAAATTATTGTGAAAAAGATACATGTCCATAATAAATACATTCAAACAGTGTGGAAAAATAAAATTAGAAAATCATGCCACCACCACATTAAATATCAATATTTAATGATAATCATTAATATTAGGTGAACATCATATCAGACCTCTTTTCTATGTTTATATACAGATAAATAAATACCTTAATAACAATGGGATATTATAGACCTATTTCGCCTAGTGGTATAGCATTCATTCTGTGTATATGCTTATATATCTGTATTTTTTTTGCATTCATTCTATATTTAAATGGAATGATTGCTCACTATTTAATCCTTTTATCATGCCATTTGCATCGATGAGTTCTTTATTTTGGTTCAGTTCTTACCCGATGAGATTTTGTTCTAAGTTTTTTCGGGAAGGGCTCAGAAATGTTACATTCTCTGGGTTCTTTCATGTTTGAGGATGTCTGCATTTTGCCTTTAAACCAGAATATATTTTGGATGAATATAATATTTTGAGGTAATAACTTACTTTCTTGAGAATGTTGTAGACTTTGTTTCATTGCCTTCTGGCATTGAATGTTACGTAGAGAAATCTAAGGCCACCTGATGTCCTCTGCCTAAAGAATCCCATCCTTAAAACTTGATGCTCAACAGCTTTTTTAGAATATCACTTGATAGTGAGCGTTTTTTATCTTTCAACCTGTGGATTTTATTTTTTCCAAATTAGGAAAATTTTCTTGTATCTCTGAAAACATTTCCTGTTCCATTCGTTAGGTTCTCTTCTTTAGGACAACAAATACAGATATGTTGAATCATCTTTATCTTCTGTATCTATTAGCTTTTCTGTGCCATACTTTCTTCCCTTTCCTTTGATATTTACTTGTGGTTATCTTAAGCCAGTCATTCAATTTTCATTTGTGTCTGTTCTGTCCCTTGCCCTTTTTAGTTTATTAGGTCTGCACTGATACTGTGTGAGTATTCAGTTTATTTCTTAGGGCTGTGATCTTCCTTTTCATCTTTCTGTTGTTTATAATCTGATTGACTTCTTATTTTGTTGAATTTATGAGCTTATGTTGTTCTATACTGTGAATCAGTTGTGAAGAATTTCTCTTTGTTCCTTGGTTTATATTATCTCCTAGGTTGAGGGGTTTTTTTTGTTTTTGTTTTTATCTTTTAAACAGTATTTTGTTTGTTTCTTGTTATTCTTTCATTTGTTTTTCTTCATTTTTGCATATTGCCAGTCAGCTTCTTTCCATTTTACACTGATGTGGTATGGTTTACAGATCTTTTCATTTGCTCTTTTCATAATTGCTCTGACATGGTTTGGGTGATTTCTTTTGTACTCTCCCACTATATCTGAGGTTATTTTATTTTTTTCCCTCAGAACTAGAATTGAAGGGCTGGGTCTTTAATATTCCAGCTGCATGGGTATCAGAAAAGGAGGAAGAGAAATGGGTAGAGAAAGGAGGAAGCTCTGTGGAGCTGTTGCAGTGTTTTGGGCTCCGTCTCCTGAGATTTTGTTAAATATCCTGAATTAAGGGTCATGTCTCACCTGGGAAGGGACCTGTAGTCTTCAAATTGTTTGCCTAATTTACTGTATAATCCTGGAGCCTTTACTTTGATCAGAGAGAATTGGCTATGTTTCAGCTTTGTCCATTTCCTTTCCTTTTTTTTTCCCCCTCCTCCAACTGTTTCCACTATTCCTTGGTTAGAAAAGATGCCCATTCAGTTTTCTTCTCTCCAGATTTGGTGTTAGTGAGAATTTTCAGGATTTTGCTGCTTTAGCAGTATAGTTTCTGGGGAAGCAGAAGAATTGTGCTGGTCCATACCATTATACTCCAGTATCTTATGTTGTTATTTTCTTTTCTCCCTTACTGAACAGCTTACAGTTTTCTAAATACCCCATACTCTATGCCTTTGCACATGCTATTCCCTCTCCGTAGAATGGAGACATTGTCTGCCTGGTAAATTCCTACTTGTCTTTCAAGACTCAGCTCATTTATCACATCCTCCAAGAAGTCTCTTCTGGTCATCCCTTCCCCACTGCCCAGCTCTGTGTTCCTATATACCTTGTACATGCTACTCTTGGAATTATTAATATGTTGCTTTTTCATTTTATTCTTCATGTTTGCCTTCTCAACTATTATGTGTTCTTTAAGGCAAGAATAGTGTCTTTTTTTTTTTTTTAAAGATTTTATTTATTTATTTGTCAGAGAGAGCGCGCACAAGCAGGGAGAGCTGCAGGCAGAGGGAGAAGCAGGCTCCCCACTGAGCAGGGAGCCCGATGCGGGACTCAATCTCAGGACCCCGGGATCATGACCTGAGCGGAAGGCGGACGCTCAACTGACTGAGCCACCCAGGTGTCCCAAGAAGAGTGTCTTATTTTCTCTGAGTTTTGAGGCCCTACCAGTACCTGACTTAGAGTAGGAGAGAAAGGAAGCTGAGATCTGTTGAGAAACTAGTATGTATCAATACTGTTCTAAATGCTCTACATATTACTTGTGAAAATAGTAAAGGGAAGCTTCACTAAAATGGAGTTGGGAGGCCAGAAGGGGGAGCACTAATACCGTTGAACTCCTTATCAACCCAACAGGAAGAAGCCTATACTTTTATTACCCCAGCAGGAGGAAGAGAGATTTTCTCCTCCCCCGGCAACAGCCCTGCCAATGAGAGACTGTCACAATTCAGGCAATGAAAAGCCACTACATTTCCAACTCCTCGATTATTTCAATGGACTTTTTGTTTATAACAGCCTTCCCAAACTCCTCCTTCCTCTATAAAAGAATCAGCTTCAGGCGCCTGGGTGGCTCAGATGGTTAAGCATCTGCCTTCAGCTCAGGTCATGATCCCGGGGTCTTGGGATCGAGTCCCGCATCGGGCTCCCTGCTCCTTGGGAGCCTGCTTCTCCCTCTGCTTCTCTCTCTCTCTCCCCCGCTCTGTCTCTCATGAATAAATAAATAAAATCTTAAAAAATAAAAATAAAAAAAAAAGAATCAGCTTCTTTGTTCTCTGGACTTGCCTATGGTTTTGCTATAGCTTTCTTTCTTTCTTTCTTTTTTAAAGACTTTATTTATTTATTCATAAGAGACAAAGAGAGAGGCAGAGGGAGAAGCAGGCTCCCTGCTGAGCAGGGAGCCCGATGCAGGACTCAATCCCAGGACCCTGGGATCATGACCTGAGCCGAAGGCAGATGCTTAACCATCTGAGCCACCCAGGTGCCCCTTACTATAGCTTTCATGTCCTGAATTACAATTCTCTGCCCTTTCTGAATAAACCCTTTTTTTTTTTTTGCTGGTAAAATGACTGACAAGTTTTATTTTTAAGGTCAACATCCCCCAGGAGGTAGGTAGTAATATTCCTGTTTAACAGATGAAGAAGACTTAAGCCAAAAAGGTGAACAGCTTGTCTAAGGTTACACACTTGGCAAGCTGACTGACCTACTTACCAAAGTAAGATTTGTCCTCAAGTCTTTTTGACTCCCAAGCTTATCATCCTACTCAGTCAGTGCCTGTGGGCTGAATGCCTATGTCCGTTTCTAGGCACATTTACCTTCATGAAATAACTTTACCATTTTTACTTATAGGTAACTTTCTTATTTTTCTTTCTAGAAATGGGATTTGACCGATACAAAATGGTGGTACAAGTAGTGATTGGAGAACAAAGAGGTGAAGGAGTATTGTGAGTAGTTGGTTTTTCCTTCTTGTTTTTATTCTCAAATGTTTCTTATTAGGTATTCATCCTCCTGACAATCCAGTGAGATTGTGTCTTTGTAAGAGTGAGAGGAAAAGACAGTATAACAAAATGCAGCTGTGAATCCAAAAGTTACCAGCACTGAACAGTGTGGTTGACAGTGTGGGTGAGCTCCTCAAGGTAACTCACTTCTCGTAGTATCCATAGGCCAATAGATCTTTTAGGGTTTATGTATATATGCTCCTAAGTCGAGTATGGCAGTATGTATATATGTTTCTTCCTCAACTCCTTCTTTTTTTTTTTTTCCCTAAATTCCTTCTTGCCTGGTTTTTGTTCCTATCATTCCAAATGAATTTCTTTAAAATTGTCTGAGACCTCCTTATTAGCATATTTAGTAGTCCTTTCTTAGCTCTTGTTCTTGGCCTGGTCTTCTATTTCTTTTTTAAAATAATTTTTAAAAAAGATTTTATTTACCCATTTCAGAGAGAGAGAGAGAGCACATGGCAGAGGGAGAAGCAGACTCCCTGCTGAGCAGGGAGCCCGATGCAGGGCTCCATCCCAGGACCCTGGGATCATGACCTGAGCCAAAGACGGACGTTTAACCGACTGAGCCACCCAGGCACCTCCTGTGCTTCTATTTCTTAATATTCGTTCCAGTTTCTTTTGGCTCTGATGTCATTTATCTAACTTGTTTCTCATCTGTTTTTCTAACTCTTTCCTTTCCTGGTTCTTCTTTCTCCCTTACATCGCCAGCTGTGAGCTTTCTTCAAGGCTCAATTCTTGTTCTTCTGCTCTTTTCAATGCTTTCTCAATGAACTCATTCATTCTCATGACCTCAAACTGTTGTTCATGTATTGGTGAATTCAAAATGTGTATTTCCCGTCTTTCCCTATGCCCAACTGTTAATCTCCTGTTTCCCTTTGCAAACAGTACTGAGTATAATATTTTATAAGAAAGTATTAAAGTATTTGTTAAATGAATTTTAAAAATACCTTGTACATATTATCACTGAGAATCTTTACTACAGAATGTTAGATTTGGAAGGGATTATGGGTATTTTCTAGTGTCTACTCCCCTTAATTTATAGATGACACTTTCGAGGATGAGTATGATTTGCTCCAAAGGATGTATCTGGCTGGTGTCAGATAAACTAATAGAGCCTGGCCTTCTGACTTCTGGCACAGTACTCCTTACCATGGTGCCCCCTACCATTTGGTCAAAAGGCTTCAGGAGATTTTCTCACCTCAAAGACATAAAGAAATACTTTACTACCTTATCACTTTAGATTCAACATGTTCAAATACACTTGCAAATTTCTTCTCCCTTCTTCTCCTTCAGTCAGCCTGCCATTTCAATTTCTCTGTCTTTCACAGTATTACAAAGGTTCTGTTAACTCTGGCTTAAAACTTTGAAGTCCTCTTTTGTTGTAGTGAGCCATTACTCTCTCCCACCACATGCACTGTAATCTGGATGCCAGGCTTACTTAGCAGCCCCTTATCCTCATTGCCAGACTCTGGTCTCTCTCCTTTATAATTCATTTTGTATACCAGACCAGCCTTTCCGAAATAACCTCATTTTCTTTCCATAAACTCTTTAGAGTTTATTTTAAACACTGTCAAATATAAACTCCTTCAACTGGTTATGATTCACTTTGTTAAATGTGACAAGGCCAAACTCTAAAGCATAGCATTCAAGTCCGCCCCTGTCCTCTTTTAAAAACTTTTATCATCTAAAATTTCAAACATGTGCAAAGGTACAGGGACTAAAGACCTCCCATTTTTTCTGTTACTTAGCTTCAAAGTTTATCAGCACATACAGATGTTTATTTATACCTGTACCAGAACCTACTCTCCCTGTCCCACCGGATTATTTTGAAACAAATTCCACTCATCATACCATTTCATTTGTAAATACAACAGTATAAAATATCTCTAAAATATACGGACCCTTTTAACATAATAATGTATCATCACATCTAAAATATTGTTGATCCTTGCTATTATACAATATTCAGTTAGTGTTCAGATGTCCCCATTTGTCTCATACACAGTTGACTCTTGTGCACAATGTGGGGGTTAGGGGTGCTAACTTTTTATATATGCATATAGCTTTGACTCCCCCAGAATTTAACTATTAATAGCCCACTGTTGACTGGAAGCCTTACTGATAACATAAACAGTCAATTAACACATATTTTACATAGATATTATATACTATATTTTTACAATAAGCTAGAGAAAAAATATTAAGAAAATCATAAGGAAGGGAACATATATTTACAGTACTGTATTTATTGAAAAAACATCTGCATATAAGTGGACCTGTACAGTTCAAACTCAATGGTTCAAGGATCAACTGTATATGTGTATGTATGTGTATTTGTGTATATGTATTTATGTGTTTATATATTTTGTTTACAATTTGTTCAGAACAGCATCCAGATAAAGGCCACAGACTGCATTTAGTTGATACATCTCTTAAATTTCTTTTAATGTATTATTTTCTTTCTCTCTCTCTCTTTTTTACCTTGCCATTTATTTTTATTTTTATTTTTTTATTTATTTATTTTTAGTTTAAGAAGAAAAGAATTTATTATTATCAAGAGCTCACAGTATTATTAGGAAGAATTTAAAATACTCTCAGAAAAAATGAAAAAAAGGACTGCCAGCTAAACTTTTAGGAAAACTCCCAAAACCATGGCACAGAACAAGGTCAAGGGAGCTGCTGCCTCTACCATGATTTGCAGATCCAATAAACTGCTCCTGTGGCCACTGGCTCTATTACAAGTTACCTTTGCCATAACTGGGTGGCTGTCAAATTAGAAAGCCGAGTGCCTTACTGAGAAGCTGTCATCACCAGAATGACACAACTTCTGCTGATGTACATTACCAAAATAGAAATTTTCTGCCCCTTGCCATGCTCCTCAAATAATTCAGTTCTTTTTCAGGCTTGTATAAGCACATATGACTGGTGGAACCTAAATCATATACAGAATCCCAAATGCATGGTAGGGTGGAAAATTCAGGTTTTTAACTATCCTAACTTCCCTGTTTTGTCCATAGAGAATGGCATGTCCAAAAAGCGGTGAACCCCGAATCTGCCACATGCCCCTTCATTTTGCTCAATAATTTTTATATAGCACTTACTATAGATGATAAGGACTGTAATACACTATAGAGAGTTCTGTAATTTCTTTTTTTTCTTTTTTAATTTTTTATTCTTATGTTAATCACCATACATTACATCATTAGTTTTTGATGTAGTGTTCCATGATTCATTGTTTGTGCATAACACCCAGTGCTCCATGCAGAATGTGCCCTCTTTAATACCCATCACCAGGCTAACCCATCCCCCCACCCACCTCCCCTCTAGAACCCTCAGTTTGTTTTTCAGAGTCCATCGTCTCTAATGGTTCGTCTCCCCCTCCGACTTACTCCCCTTCATTCTTCCCCTCCTGCTATCTTCTTTTTTTTTTTCTTAACATATATTGCATTATTTGTTTCAGTAGTACAGATCTGTGATTCAACAGTCTTGCACAATTCACAGCACTCACCATAGCACATACCCTCCCCAATGTCTATCACCCAGACACCCGATCTCTCCCACCACTCCAGCAACACTCAGTTTGTTTCCCGAGATTAAGAATTCCTCATATCGGTGAGGTCATATGATACATGTCTTTCTCTGATTGACTTATTTCACTCAGCATAACACCCTCCAGTTCAATCCATGTCATTGCAAATTTTACCTTGCCATTTAATTGTTGAAGAAATTGGGTTGTCCTGTCGAGTTTCCTACATTCTTGCATTTGCTAATTGTTTATTTATTTATTTTCGGGAGTTTTATACTTTAGATTATAATCTAGTACTACCTTATTTATTTCATTGCTCAGTGTTCCAAACTTCGGCCATTGGCCACTCTTTCAACTGCCTCTTGTGTCCCTTTGGTATATCCAACTATTGTGGGGTGGTTTTTTTTTTTTAAAGATTTATTTATTTTAGAAAGAGAGAAAGAGAGAGAGTGAGAGAGCATGAGTGTGTGTGGGGGTGTGGGTAGAGGGAAAGGGAGAGAGAGAAAGAATCCCTAAGCAGACTCTACACTGAATGCAGAGCTTGATCTCGCGACCCCAAGATCGTGACCTGAGCTGAAATCAAGAGTCAGACACTTAACCAACTAAGGCACCCAGATGCCCCTGTTGTGGGTCTTTTTGAGCACTTCCTTACGTACTGGCACTAAGAGATGCTTCATCTTATTCGTTCCCTGCCCCAGCCCTATAATTAGCCATTTTCCCAAGGAACTCTGGTTCATTTTATTGGAGAATGGCATTAGAAACTAACATTTGGGCACTAGGTGTGGCCATCAACTTTCTGAGTATTGCTTCTGCTCTGTCTGCTGTCCGCGGTCCGCGGTCCTCTCTGGATTCCAATCACCTGTATTTAGATTGAGATGCTCTTTTTACACATGTCGCTTATGCTCTTCCCTGAGTTTTTGTTTTTTTTCTCTCTTGCTTCCTTTTGGATATTTTCCTACTGACCTTTCAGTTGACTAATTCTCTTTTCTGTTGTGTCTAATCTGTTATTCAATCCACTGACTGAATTCTTAATATCAGTTGTTATGTTTTTCAGGTTTAGAATATCCATTGAATTCTTTTTTGTAGATTCTGATTCTCTAGCGAAATCAACTGAGGCACCCAGGCATGAGTTTATTTTAAGAATTTGTGTAAGAGATTTCTGAATCTGTCCCAGTGAGGGAAAAAGGGGCCTTTCTTTCATGTCTGTTACCAAAATGTAAATTAAGACAGTTGCTGATCAAACTTACATACAGTTGACAAATAGTTTTTAGCCCCTGTTTTAGTTATTGTGATCATGGGGGGAAAAAACCTTTTCCTGAGACACTCAACTGCAAAGGGCAGGCAGTATTGGAATCCCCCTTCACTGGTACTGCACCACTCTAGGAAATATGCTTTCAGGCTCCTTCTGATGGCCCAA